GGTGCGGGTCTGTGGTGTGAGGAAGGCTTCATGCAGGAGGGCCTCGAGGACCAGGTGGCATTTGGCAGGCAAAGGGGCAGTTGTCCAGGGTCGGGAGAAGAGCCCCGAGAGGTTCGGAGAGGAGTAGCAGGAGCTCAGAAACTGGGCCCCACACGGGCAAAGGCCTGGGTAGACAGGCCCTGACTGCTCCCCCCTCCCAGGGCGATGTCAGGTCCGGGTGCTGCCCCCAGTGCCCACAGAAGGGCTGACACCAGATGACGTCCCAGCTCTGGCCGACAGAGTCCGGCATTCCATGCTCACCATTTTCCGGGAAATCTCCACTGACGGCAGGGGTGGTGGCGACTATCTGAAGAAGCCTGGCAGCGGCGAGGCCCGGCTCTGAGTTCCTCCACCTCCCCCTCCACACACCTGCCAGCCAGTGGGTTCTGACGCAGGACCAAGCCCTCTTCCTCGTTCCCCCTCGCCCTACTCAGTCTCCTCTTTGGAGTCTTCAACTTCTGAAGTGAATGTCTCTGCCCCTTCCCAGCTCCCCCCACCCCCCCACTCTTGCCTCGGTGCAGTCTCCACTCCGACCCTCCCCACCTCCTGCACCATGAGCCTGCGGGTAGTTGCCCCCCGCTCAGCTCCAGTGCTCAGCCTCCACGGATGGGAGCACTCCATCCCGTCCCAGGGGCCCTCCTTCCTGTGTGGCTCTCCCTCTCCCCGACATTGGCCAGTGGACTCGTCCGTTCTGTGGAACAGTCCCCCACCTCCACCCCATGGGTCCAGCGGACTCATCCGTTTGCCAGGAGGACTCCTCATGCCGTGCCTGGACGCTGGTGTGGAACACCCCCAGGCTCCTCCTGGGAACACTCAGCAACTCCACCCGCCCTCCCGCGGAGCCTCCGTCAGGGGGGCGGACTCTTCTCACTCCGAGGTCTCATTCCTGCCGGGCCCAGGTGCCCAGGACTGAGCAACCCCTGGATGCCAGTTTGGTCTTCACATTTCTGCTCCCCTGTTCCCGGGCGGCCCGCCCATCCCCTCCGCCCTGGGGCACATTCGGAAGAGACCAGAGGTGCATTGCAGGGGCTGCACCCAGGCTCCCTGGCTGGAGGGGATGGAGGGCTTTTAATTTATTTCTCTTTCGTTGGAGGTTTCCCCCCTTTGAGCCAGTTTTCATTTCCTCCCTGTGGCATTAGCCTCCCATCCTCCCATCCCAGACCTGTGCCTACAACAGGGGGGGCTGGGAGCAAAGGAGGAGGGTGGGACTCCGTTTTTCATGGTTGTTTTTATTAATTATCTGGGTAACAGCAAGGAACCAAGAATAAAGATTGCGAGATCTGGACACGGGCTGCCTTGGTTAAGGTGAAGCAGCAGTTCCCGCCCCGGGGAGTCCGCCGAGCCCTGGTCCTCAGTGGCGGGTGGCGGTCCGGGTCTGTGTAAAGTGGGGCAGCGCTCTGCAGAGGGTCCTCACGGCCGCCCGCTGAGGCCCGGGCTCAGGCTGTTGTCCTCACAGGAGCC